AGAAAAGGTCGTGCAGGATATGTCAGGCTCGACTATTCAGAGAAGAAATGAAGAACTGTGTGCACATCTGACCAGTGGATCTCCTGAAACAATGGCCTCAGGTCCCTGGTGCAGCTGAGGGAAGGAAAGGGTGACCAGAGTCCTAAGCTCCTGGCAGCAGCAGTCCTGGGCGATGACCAGGGTGGCGCCGAGATGCCAGGGCTGTTGCTGCTGGTGTGCAATGACCAGAAGCTGTGTGGAGCCTGACTTTGGGCAGCCAAGGCAGGTTTCCCCAGGCACCTGGTGGCTGGCAGCAGTTTTAAAAAGAAAAGAGAGAGGGGATATATGTGGGGACAGAAGGAAGGAAGGCAGACAGAATTTGTTTCAGCAAAAATAATTTATTTTCATCATATCAGTATAAAATACAACGTTCACAAGCAAATCCTGTGTAAATGGCTGGAGAGAAAAAAAAAAACATGAAAGAGCATACTACCCACCATAAAAAGTTAAATTTGTCAATTAGCAGGATACCTATTATTGGAATTATGTATGTTTTACTTTCTTTGCTATATTTTATTTTTATAATGACTACACATGGCTTTTATCATCAGAGGAAATAAAACTATTTTTCATTTAAGGGAAGAAAAGAAACTAAAAATACTAGTAAAATATGAGTCATTAACAAAACTTTATAGGTTTTTCTCATCCAAAGGCAGAGTTAGAGAAACTCTAAACACTATTTGAGAAAATGGTGACGGTTCTTAAATACGTCATTTTAAATTCGAACAGATGCTCTTAATGCTCTTATTTATGCAGCCATCACTTCTTTCACTTATGTGAGTCACAGAGAAAGGCTCATGTGGTTAATCTTACATGATCACTCAGCTTTTAACCACATGGTATAAATGTCACAAACAGAGCACCCATAATACAAAAGAACTCTGCAAGTAATACCAATTATATAAGACTAGAGGCCCGGTGCACAGAATTTGTGCATGGGGCGGGGGGTGTCCCTGCACCCTCTCCAATCTGGGACCCCCTCGGGGGATGTCCGACTGCGGGTTTAGGCCCCATCCCTGTGAACCCTGTGGGATGGGGCCTAAACCAGCAGTCAGACATCCCTCTCACAATCCGGGACTGCTGGCTTCTAACCACTCGCCTGCCTGCCTGCCTGCCTGATTGCCCCTAACTGCTTCTGCCTGCCAGCCCAATCGCCCCCAACTGCCCTCCACTGCTGGCCTGATCTCGCCAACTGCCCTCACCTCCAGGCCTGGTCACCCGCAACTGCCCACCCCTGCTGGCCTGGTCGCACCTGACTACCCTGCCCTGCAGGCCTGGCTGCCCCCAACTGCCCTCCCCTGCAGGCCATCTTGTGATGATGTGGCAGTGGCCATCTTTTGACGACGTGGGGGTGGCCATCTAGTGACAATGTCACACGACACCACCTAGCCTTTTATTATATAGGATTTTTGTAGCACTATCTCATAAAACACATCTACCCGAATACCTCTAAGAGGGCAGCCTTGAATTCTTGGTATCTTGGTTCACATCATTTTCTAAAGTGCTGATATTTCCTCATTGTCATGAAGGAAAACAGAGTCTTCTAAGTTAATCCATGTAAGAAAACATGTTATTCTTTAAAGATTGCCCATGTCTATTGGTGCATCCACTGGTAAAATGTGTGGCTCTAACAGCAATGATGCCATGATGGAACAGCAACGTGGCCCCGACAGGCACAGGAGCCCCGCGCGGTCCAGTCCCGTCAGCTGTGATCCACAGCCCCTGGAGAAGGGTGAGCTTCAGGATTCATCTCTTTGAAGAGTTCAGAAAAGTACTACAGTACACATACATGCCATATTTTACTTAAACCCTCCAGGAAGTCTGGGTCAGCACCCCATATTCACATTCATTACTGTTTCTACAGCAAAATTTTGAATCTGAACACTAAGTGGGGGGAAAAAAACTATTGAAAGACTGACATCCATTCAGATCAGGTTTTGCCACTAAGCTAAATTTAAAAAAACGTTTTGTTTCAGAACTTTCTGTGATCCCAGTATTACACATGTGGAGTTATAATCTTTACGAGCAGTGGTGTTACTATTTATATCGCCCCTTAGAGTTTGGCCGTATGTACAGCTTCTTCTCCCCCTACATTGAGGAAAATATGCATTCAAACTGTTTAGAATACCAATGGCCATTCCATTAAAATCTGAGGGACAGTTTAATGATTTTAGACAAGCTAAATGCTCAGGAACAATAAACATTAAAGTCAATGTTCATTTTTGCAGGGAAATATAGGGAAGCAACCAGGAAGGGACACACAAGGGCTTCAACCATGCTGGTAATGTTTTACTTTTAAGTTGGGTGATGGGTACCTAGAGATTTGGTACATTAGTTAAGACATTCAGAAGGATATAAAGAATATTTCACAATAACCCTTTTCTTAAATCAACCAAAATTACTTATTTAGTGAACATTTTAATAGATGCGAGAACTTTGGACTTAACGGGGACTTGCTGTGGCTCACACTGGCACTCCTGCATCTTTGCAGCCTCCTAGCACATCCCTTCCAAAGGTCTTCCCTCAACAGCAGCAGCAACTAAGAAACCAGGTTCCCTGGCTTCAAAAAACACTTTCAATCCGAACGTACGATCTGCACTTAGCCTGCAATGGCTTCTATGTTCACTCACCGGTAGCTTTAGGCAGGCAAGCCCCAGAGAGACTGACAACTAACTCTCAGCCAAACAGCTGAGGTCTATCCATTCACTCTATTTTCTGCTGTAGTAAAAACTAATTCCATTCTTACTACCTCAAGATGATCAGGGAATGTAATTAGGGAAA